AGAAAATGTGGTATATAGATACCATGGAATATTACTCAGCCATAAAGAGAATGAAATCTTGCCATTTGTGACCACATGGATGGACCTAGAGGGTATCATGCTAAGTGAAATAACTCAGAGAAAGATAAATGCCATATAATTTCACTTAAATGTAGAATCTAAAAAACAAAACAGATGAGTAAACAAAAGGAAACAAAGAACAGACACAATCGCATAAAAACAGAACAAACTGATGGTTGCTAGAGGAGAGGGACATGGAGAATGAAGGGAATTAACAGATATAAACTTCTAGGGGCTCCTGGGTGGTTCAGTCAGTTAAGTATCTGACTGGCTCAGTTCATGATCTCAGGGTCCTGTGATTGAGCTCCATGTCCAGGCTCCCTGCTCAGTGGGGAGTCCTGCTTGTTCCTCCCCCACTCCCCCTGCTTGTGCTCTCTCTCTTTCTCTCTCTCAGGTAAATAAATGGAATTTTTAAAAAAAATTAAATAAAGAAGAGATATAAACCTCTAGGGGCGCCTGGGTGGCTCAGTTGGTTAAGCATCTGACTTTGACTCAGTTCATGATCTCAGGGTTCTGGGATCGAACCCCACATCCCGGGCTCCCTGCTCAGTGGGAAGTCTGCTTGTCCCCCCGCCCACCACTCGCTTGTGCTCTTTCTCTTTCAAGTAAATAAATGAAATCTTTAGAAAAATTAAAATAAAGAAGAACGAAACTTCCAGTTTCACTGATGAAAAGTACAACATAAGGAATATAATCACTAGTATTGTAATAAAGTTGTATGGTGACAGATGGTAGCTACACTCACCATGGGAAACACGGTGTAATGTGTAGAATTGTTGATTCACTATGGTGTATGCCTGAAACAAACATAACTTTGTATGTCAACCATACTTCAATAAAAAAAGGTGTGTCTATCAAGCCTAAAAAAATAATGGAAATTTAAGTATAGAATATGATAGTTTGTCTTGTGTGTATTAAATGAATTGCCTGAATAATATTTTAAATCAGGTAATGTTATACTGAGATGTGAACTACAGCATATATTAACATTTTGTTTTTAGCATAAAGTGGAAGTAATGTTTATTGATTATACACTTTTTCTATCTACATATTTAATGTCTACTATGTGCCATACATGCACTGTGGAAAAAATATAGATTAGCTAGAGCCTCTGCCCTAAAAGATTATATGCTGAGGAAAAAGACAATGAAAAATTGTTTTAAAATCTATAATAGAAATAAGTACAGGAACAGAAGGCTATAAAGGAAGAGAGACAGGGGAAAGAAATTCAAATTTTTATTTACTAAGCTTTACACTAATTCATTGAATCCTTATAATTGCCCAGTTTACTAATTATTACATCAATTTTTACAGATGGGAAAAATGGAGTTCTTCAGTCTTAAAAAGAATAAAAAACATACCCTAGGTTTCATTTAGTATGTTTTAGTTTGGTGAAATAAAACTAAAAAAAAGGACCAAAAGTTCTCCCAAATTATCCAGATAGTATGCAATTTGATTAACTTTATAGTACCTTGGTATTGTTGTCCTCTGGATAAACAACTTAAGGTCATTTGCAAAAATGATATCAATTTGTTTAAGCATTGGAAAACATTATGTGTGCATTGTAATTTTATTGACAACATATTCTTTCCAAGCAGTGGAAAGCTATTAACTTAGTCAATAAATGGAACAGAGTTATAAGGTTATATAGGATCCACAATAAACGTGAATGTATGTATCATTTATCCTATCAAATGTGAGTCTCTATTACTGCTTATGATTTACCCACTTTATTGTCTAAAATTAGCTATGTTTACCAGGATGATTTTGAGAAGGATCTTTGAAGAATGTGGGGCCCCTGGTAATTTACTTTGAATGGATCCCCTCTATTTTCTTGAAAACTCTTAAGGCATTGAAATAAGGTTAAAATAAACATTCAGGAAATAATTTAAATTAAATTAAATTTAAGTTATTAAATTTAATTTAATAATTTTAATCCTTTTAAGAATGTGTGGGGAAAACCAGGAAGATTGCCCAAACTTTGTTGTATGGGGTGAAGCCTGGGGGAGGGTACTTATGGAACAGGAGCTCCACTAACTCTGGAAACTTTCTTCCCAATTGGTTGCAGCCTATCGTTGTCCATCCTGAGACCAAATCCACAATTCTCAGAGCAGTTGTGTAATACCAAGCTCCTTTCGAATTAGTAAAGATTAGATTATATTTAGCAGGTTTTGAAGAAAAGATATTCTTAACTGCCTTTTAATGATTTTGAGAAATAGACTATACATGGTAACTCATTTAAAAAAATGTATTTCCTTATTCTAGAAAAGAGTAATATATAAATTTTTCTGTAACTCTAACATGCAAGAATTTCTACTATTCTTTGGATTAGAACACTTGACATTGAAATTAAAAATTACAGGGGTGCCTGGGTGGCTCAGTCGGTTAAGCATCTGCCTTTGGCTCAGGTCATGATCCCAGGGTCCTGGGATCGAGCCCCACATTGGTCTCCCTGCTCAGCAGGGGGCCTGCTTCTCCCTCTCCCTCTGCCTACCACTCCCCCTGCTTGTGCTCTCTCTGTCAAATAAATAAATAGAGTCTTAAAAAAATAAAAATAAAAATTACAAATAATTCCTGTTGTTATCAAGTAGCTAAAAAATAATTACTTTTATATATATGATTTTTTCTATAACATAATAACATAAATAACATAATAACATAAAAATCTTGATAGGAGGATTATGAATAGGAAATCAGTGTCCCAGTTATGAGTCAAAAACAAAGAATTTAAAAAAATTATTTATGAGGAAAGCTAGAGAAACAATGCATTAAGAAAAAAGTCCTTTCGTTTTTTTTGCCTGGTTTATAATTTGCATTACCTTGCCATCTAGTGGTTAAAACAGGTATTAAAAATAAAAGTATTCTAACACCTTGGTACCAGAGGCTGAGTATATATAGAGACACCTAGATTTACTACAAGAGATAGGAATATAATGTGCAGTGTATTTTGAATGCAGGACCATAAATCATATTTTAGGATTGGGAAGAGGAAGAAACCCGTAGGCGCAAACACAATAGAGGTACAAGCAAGGACTCCAATCAGCCTATCAAGTATTTCATATTTAGTGATTCTCTGTTGGTGCTCAATGCTTAGTGTTTATTCACAAGCTGCCTTCCTTTGTCTGGAAACATAGCTAGATGTTTGCCCTCTGGATAAACAACTTAAGGTCATTTGCAAAAATGATATCAATTTGTTTAAGCATTGGAAAACATTATGTGTGCATTGTAATTTTATTGACAACATATTCTTTCCAAGCAGTGGAAAGCTATTAACTTAGTCAATAAATGGAACAGAGTTATAAGGTTATATAGGACCCACAATAAACGTGAATGTATGTATCATTTATCCTATCAAATGTGAGTCTCTATTACTGCTTATGATTTACCCACTTTATTGTCTAAAATTAGCTATGTTTACCAGGATGATTTTGAGAAGGATCTTTGAAGAATGTGGGGCCCCTGGTAATTTACTTTGAATGGGTCCTCTCTATTTTCTTGAAAACTCTTAAGGCATTGAAATAAGGTTAAAATAAACATTCAGGAAATAATTTAAATTAAATTAAATTTAATAACTTAAATTTAATTTAATAATTTTAATCCTTTTAAGAATGTGTGAATTCCTAAGAATGTCATTCTTGAGGCATTGAAATAAAGTTAAAATAAACATTCAGGAAATAATTTAAATTTAATTTAATTTAATAACTTAAATTTAATTTAATAATTTTAATCCTTTTAAGAATGTGTGAATTCTTAAGAATGTCATTCTTAAGAATGTCAGGTCAGGCCTACCTAGACCAAATAGGACTGTGATTCCACTTTAGGGCTTCACAGTTTAGCTAATTCCATGCAAGCCTCACTTCTGGCAAAAGAAAACACAGTTGTTGACATTGGACTTGCCCAAGTTATGGTGAAGTTTCATAATAACCAAACCTTGTTGAATATATTAACGAGATATTCTTTTTTAAAAAAAGATGTTATTTATTTGAGAGAGAAAGAGCACGATTGGGGGGAGGGGCAGGGGGAGAAGCAGACTCCCTGCTGAGCAGGAAGCCCGCCATGGGACTTGATCCCAGGACCCTGGGATCATGACCTGAGCCAAAGGCAGTTGCCTAACCAAATGAGCCACCAAAGTGTTGCAACAAGAGATATTCTTACCAGAGTTAAACTTTGAATGATCTCCTTTCTAGGGAAAATTATGAGGAAATAAGGCATTCTAGTTATCCCATTTTGTTTTACTTACCCTACATTCATTTTTAAAGTTAAATCTTGTTTTAAAGGAGAAATTTTTATATCAAGTATGTGAACGCTCAAAGGTTGCTGAGCATAGTCATTTGTCAAATTTTGGTTGGATGTGGACCAACGAAAAGCATATAATAAAAGTTAAAATTTATAAAGAGAATTCTTATTATTAACAACACATTAGTATTTTCTTTCTGAAATTTGAATTAAAATATGACAGTTTAAATCTGATTAATATTTTCTTTCATTCCTGGTGGAAGCATCACTCCATCACATCTCCTTAGTTATGAAATAAATATGAGGACTCAGAGACAGAGGAAGGGAAGCTGGCACATGTAATAAATTGAGGAATTTAGGACTATTCTGGGAAAATCAGCATGTATGATATAACCCTAACAATGGCTCACATTGACACTCTCCTAAATATCTTCTCGGCCTTATGCACAAGTTAGTTCTTTGAAACTGTGTTAACTCTTACCAAGTGTATATTGAACTAAACAGTATGGTTAATTGTTTTCTGCACAGAAGGTTAATTTCCTCTTGTCTAAATGTATTTTGGGTTCAATTGATAGATGGTTCATTTATTGATCTCATCAACCATTAGTCAGTAATCATTGTCAGCCCTGTGAAATCGCTAAGAGTAGACAATTTTACTCTGGAACACTGAAGTTGGTATTTTTTTTTTTTTTTTTTTTTTTTAGCGACTATCATCACCCTTAGGCTGTCCCTAATGAGATGCCTCCACTTGGATATCAGGTAGGGCCCTTGGATGGTGAATCTTTTACATTTCATGTTTTGTTGTTGTTGTGTACTTGTTTTGCTTTGTTTAAACTAGTGTAGTTAAACATCCTTGTGGCCTGGAATAGCAAGAAGGGAACATTGAATCTGAGGATAGCTGCGGGGAGATGCCAGGGAGTGAGGTTTTAAGAGTGTGTGTGTGTGCGCACGCACACGCATTTCCTTTTGTCTTTCTCAGAACCAAGGGGCTTTTATCCCATTTGCTAATTCCACTGAAGCACTTGCAGCCTCTTGGTGACCGTTTGGTGATCAGAAGTTCAGAAGATCTAAATCCTTTCTTAATTGCTCTGATTGGCCTCACTTGGAGCAGGAAGCCCCCCCCCCCCCCCCCCCCCCCGCCCGCGTTCTATTTGCTCTATTTAAAGAGTTAACTGAAGACAATGTGGGAGGAACAGGAGAAGATAAGCCTAACATTCTAGTCAAGTAGGATCTGAATCATTCGGCCATTTCTTTTTGATACATGCTAAGAAAGAAAGTTAAAAAAAAAAAAAAAGCATAGTTATTAAGAGAGAGTTTAAACTAATCATTCTGTTATTTCATGTAAGAATAATTGGAATTTCTTGGGCGCCTGGGTGGCTCAGTTGGTTAAGCGACTGCCTTCAGCTCAGGTCATGATCCCAGGGTCCTGGGGTCCTGGGATCGAGCCCTGCATCGGGCTCCCCGCTCTGCGGGGAGCCTGCTTCTCCCTCTCCCACTCCCCCTGCTTGTGTTCCCTCTCTCGCTGTGTCTCTCTCTGTCAAATAAATAAATAAAAAATCTTAAAAAAATAAAAAATAAAAATAAAAAAATAGGGGCGCCTGGGTGGCTCAGTCGTTAAGCGTCTGCCTTCGGCTCAGGTCATGATCCCAGGGTCCTGGGATCGAGCCCCACATCGGGCTCCCCGCTCAGCGGGAAGCCTGCTTCTCCCTCTTCTACTCCCCCTGCTTGTGTTCCCTCTCTCGCTGTGTCTCTCTCTGTCAAATAAAATAAATAAAATCTTAAAAAAAAAAAAAAGAATAATTGGAATTTCTTAATAGAAATTTCTTAGTTAAAATCCACGTGGATATTTACTTTTTCTTCTGAAATACTAGTGATGCAATTGAACCTTCAGTTTAAAATTTAAAATATTGCTAAAAATTCAGACTCAAGTTTGTCTCCCCTGTATCTACTCGGGTCTATTTCAATTCCAACAAAAACAGCCACAGCTTCACAAATGGTTAGTCCATGACTCCAAGAAAAGTCACTAGTATTTTAGGTGGGGTTGCTTAATATTATTATCTAGAGAAAAATGCGGTTTTTTTTTTTTTTTAAAAGATTGGTTTATTTATTTTAGAGAGAGCAGAGAGGGGCAAAGAGAGAGGGAGAGAGAATCCCAAGCAGATTCCATGTGGGGCTCAATCTCAGGACCCTGAGATTACGACCTGAGCCAAAACCAAGAGCTGGTCGCTCGACCAACTGAGAAAAATGTTTTTTTGAGTCAGCTCACTCTTCAGTAAGCTCGATTACCTTTATAAAGTTTGGTAATTAGTACTATTTTTGTCAAAGTGTGTTGGTGTTTTCATTGAAATTCCGAGTGGGCATTGACCAAAGTGTTGTATGCTTTTACTTTTAGGTATGCTGTTTTTTAAGGTCATACTTGTTTTAACCTTTCTGGGTTTTTTTCTTTAATACTAAAATTATAAAACTGGAAATGAAACATCTTCGTTATACATGATGTGATTGTGGACTTACATACTTATGCTTTTACTTTTTGAGGTAAATATGTGGTCATAGGATTAGAAAATTTTCAGAGACTTTTGTAAAAAATTCAGAACTTCTGAAATGACAAACTAAAAAGAAAAGACAGGGAATGAATACAGGTCTTTGGTCCATTCATACTGGGAGTTGTGAAATTTGACCACTAGATGGCGCACCTGATCCAAGTATCTGTAATCGAACCGCCCTCACAAGATCCTCCCGTGTCTTTTGGAAGTTCAGTCATTTTATTGAGTCAACTTTTACTTGTTTATTTCATAAAACAATTAATTCAGCATGTTAGCTCTTTCTGGCTATATTTCCCATCAATTTTACTCTCAACTAGGAATGTTTTGATTTATATGCCCACATGATTTAAATGAAAGAATAGAATATTTTCTTTGCATTTCAATTCATAACATTCTCTCACTCACCACGTTTAAAGGTGTGCTTAAGACAAACGACAGCTTTTTTTTTTTTTTTTTCCTTTTGGGACAAGTACGAGATTCAGATGATGAAAACAAATATTCGTAAAAAGTATACACAATGTTTTTATGTTTTTTAGTCTTCACAATTTTGAACGATTCTCAATTTGTTGCTTAAACGAATAATAAATCGCAAGCACAGGTATAAAAACAGCAAGCAAGTAGGAAACCACCACCATTTACAGACTTCAAAAATACAGGACCAAGATTTACAAGAACTATTTGTGCTAATGAAGAAACATCTAGATCATTAGTTTTTACATACTTTATATATGTACACGTCAATCAGTAAATGTTGACCACAAGATCAGTATAGTGACGCTCTTTAGGGCACAATTATTACTATTTTTGATGAAATTAAGTCCATGAACACATAGAGTAAAAAGTAGAGTTTTCAACTAGTTTAACAGAAGTCTGATTTTTACAAACCAGATTCATAAAAAAACAAACAAAAAACTAAATCTCTCTTCTTAGAGGACAAACAATAGATTTAACTGGTAGGTAGTTCTGATGGATTGGTTTTGTTTGTTTGTTTGTTTGTTTTTAACTTGGACATAACCTTTCACTTTGTGTGGAGAAGAACAGTGGGGATTGCAGTTGGCTATGCAAACAAACAAGCATCAAATTTTCAATCAAACCAAATGGCAGAGAGCTGAAAATATAGATTGCGCTATTATTCAGTTTCATAGAAGACACTAGATGAGTCATTTACACTAACATGGGAATCCCTTCTCAAGAGCTTTGGCATTTTGTTTGTGCCCAGGCAATAGAAAAATAAATGCAATAGGTTTGCATTTTAGATACCTCAAGGTAAACTTTTAAAAAATTATTGAAGCAGTTTGATAAACTTGGCAAAATAGGATTTCAGGACTTGAGAAAATTCACAGAACACTGTTTGGATTATGCTTAGTCTTTTAAAAAAGATCTAATTCAATCAAGCACAATACTTGGTATCATGTAGAGAAAATAAAGGGTCATTAAAATATTCATTTTTCAGTTTTTTGTGTGTAGGATTTAGCCCAAACACAGGGGGCAAACTACATAATTAGACAATGAATCATGAGGCCCAATTCTATCCTCAGCTAAAGCTAATCATGCAAATATGAAACCCAGTTGAAGATTAGGGACACACATTGTTCATGACATGAGATTGACAAAGATTCTGACTCCATAGAATTTTTTTTTTCTTTTTACGAGGGCCCACATTATACTTGGAATAACCTTACTTGGGAAGCCTTGTTGAGTTGACACAAAAAAGCACAGAAATATACCCATAAGAAAAATACCAAAGTCAATTTTAAAATACCTTACAAAAGTGCTCATGGAGTTCTTCCTATTGCAAAAGCTGATTTCGTGCTTACAGGCCTTTCAAGCAGGTGTGGAATCATTGGTGGGCCACAAAATGACGATAGAATATAGGTGAAAGCACTTCACCAGTGTCAAACCTGACAAAATAGAAGCTGTTATTTTTCTGTAACCTATATTTCTGCATAGTGCTTCTCTTAAAGACCATTGTTCAGAATTCAGTTATTTATCAAAGAAATCGTGTTAGCATCCTACCTGGCTGGAGGCAGAGAGCTGAGCTATGTTTATATTTAATTTTTATTATTGTTTCTAGTTTTCTGAGCTACATTTATGCTTAGTCTTCATTTTAATTGTTTTTGTTGTGTTTTCATCTACAAACAAGGCATATTATTTGTGAAGCACCAAGATCAAGAATCTTGTGGTTATTCTATGATGAGGCCATGTCACTTCATTCATTGTAAAGATTCTAGAAATTCGTCATACTTCGGTCTTTTTGAAGGGCATGGACCAGTGGTATATGTATAGAAATTGACCTTCCAGCCTTCCTCTGACCACACACATGAATTCCAAGTAGCAGCTAGAAAGGAATGAATGGATTTGGAAGTTGAACAATAGCCCTTAAGATATCCTTTTAAGTATCCTGAAAATATAAGTTTGCTACAAAGGAAGAAGAAAATGGACTTTTATCCTAAGATCCTTCCTCTAAATAAAGCTGGAGATAGCTCTGTTGTGTCAAAGAAAACCATGAATTTTCCTTTTATTGCAGAGTTGAACGAGAAAGCAAAAAAACCTATCAGTCATGAAAAGAATGAGTCCAGTCAATTCACATGGTAAGGATATAAACTGAAATCCTTCAGCTAAAGATTTCATCAGTTCAGGGGAGTGCAGATGGAACAAGGATTTTCAAGATAGTTTAAGGAATTAAAGTATGAAAGGAGCCCCCATTGTTTATTGCTTCTGTTGGTTTGTTTCCATGTAAATTTGGAACTGCTTCATTTGGCTCAAATTATTTCACTTGGATTATGTTTATCCAAGTAAGAGACTTATCATTAACCTACAGCAAAATTCACAATTCACCATTCTGCCAAATATGAGACTTAATTAAGTTTTCAACTTTTTTGGATATTTCCTATCATGTAAGTTTAACCAGTCAAATATACTCATGTCTCAAATTCATTTAACTTAGCTATGGATCAATCTTATTTCTCAAGGATGGAAATTATCATATATCGTAATAATTCATATTGTGTACCTACAATGGACTACATACTGTAAAGAACTGAAATATATATGTGACACAGTTCATTGATATTTTAAAACTAACTAGAAAACACCAAGTTATATTTGGCTGTTAAATAAGCAAGGATAATTCTGCTTACTTGTCCAGTAAGTATGGGCACATGCCAGTTAATTTTGAAAAATTTATTTAGAATTAGCACTTTTAAAGACTAAACT